GCGATATCTCACGAAACACTGTTACGCTGCGACGCGCCTGGCATACATCTACCTAGGCCTGCGGCGCTGACACCCGAGTCGGGTAGCGCAAAAATGAACACAAGGATACGGGCCTGTGGCCCGTCAACTTCCCGTCACTTCGACTAAGCATGCATTGTCGTACATTTTTTCGCTTGTTTTCGTCTAAAACTCCGTGTGGCGCCTAAACGGTTAATGATAGAGCGAAACGGACGAAATTTTCGCCCTGCGGGCTCTACTTTGATGAGTTACCCCATAGAAAACATTAAAAAAATATTTTTAAAAAACATCATTTTGGGGACCTGTGGTTTTTGATTTTTTAAAAATCCAATTTTTGAGCTAGAATGCTCTTCTTCGGACTTGATCTGTCTTTTTATGATACAAAACGACCCTGAAAATCCCAGGTCGCTAGCTCAATTCGTTCTCGAGTTATCGTGATGACAGACAGACGGACACGAAACTTTTTGATCATCAGTGGAGTAATAGGCTTCGCTAATCGCTCAGCCAATAATTGATCCAATGACAGACCCCCCTCCTCGGGCCACGGCCAGTCAATTAGAATAGCTTCGTCAGCTAAGTTTTCTTCAACAAAGTCAACAACTGCAGCGTTTTACATCCTTCGCGACAGGTCAATCAAAGCATCGCAATCTTGCCTGCCGCGGTGCTTGCAGTGACAGCTCCTTGTATCTATGCAAGTCCTCCCTATGCCCTCATATAAAATTTTAGTATTATAATCAAACTCAGTAACTGAGTCCTCAGTGGCAAAAAATTGAACTAGTTTCTCAGTAATACTGTTTTCCCCATGTAAATTGAAAAACTCCCTCAGCTTATCAACCGCAGGAATGGGCAACGGTTGGAGTGGGGCTAGCTGGAAGCTAAGATATAGAACCAACTGAGGCGGAAGGGCTGGATAGTCGTTCAGAAACGCCTGAATTGACATTTTGCCGACGAATGGAGTGGGCAGGCAGCAAAGGTACTGTTCTTACCTGAACTCTGTGACGAACGGAGCGAGAGTGTGACACCGGCGTCAGTGGTGCTCGCAAGAAAATTGGAAATGAGAAAAAGAAAAAAAGGAAGAGGAAAGGGAGTGGGGAAAAGAGCGGGAAAGGGCAAGAGCGCCTTCTAGCGTCAACAGAGAGAAGCTGATGGACAAGCTTACGAATTTCTTCAATTCTCCCGTGCTTTTTCGCACTCCCTTCCCTTCCCCCTTTTCCTTCTCTCCTTTCTGCTTTTTCCGAGCACCTCTGACGATGGTGTCACACACACACAGGATTTTTTGACTAAATATCTGAATTGAATTATTCTATTATTTTACTTAAAATTGTACACATGGCATTAAGGAGAATATGCATTGATACCCAAAAGAGGTGTCACTGCTTCACACAATTCGTCAAGCCTGCGACACTTTCATCTTACTTTTAGAATTGTGTGTGCTGCTGTTTACACAGGTCAATGAAGTTATTGCAAATGAAGCTATTTTAATTGATTGCCATGGCAGAAACAATTCATTCCAGTAGCTAATACACAAACAAAATTGCTTACATTAAGAAAAAATTACATTTGTACATACCAATAAGCAAATTTCTTAAGTAAAACGGATTTTACCAAAAGTTTTGCCAAAGCTTCATTTTTGAGATTTAGTGTTTTTGAATTGTTTATTTTTAAAAATCTTTCTTTCGAAAATGGAGTTAAAGTAAGGCTGTCTAGACTTGTCACCCTGGACAATGCCACGAAGGATATGCCAGGAGACAGTTCCCTTTCCTCTCCAATGTTAATGACAGCCTGCAAAATTTTTGACAAAGTTGATCAATATGCATACAAAATACTATGAATAAAATTGTAACAACCTTTATGAGAAAAATACCATAGATAAAGTTAAGCCTTGAGCCTTATGAATGGTGACAGCATTCCCTCCCTCAATCCTACAGCGCGCAGCATTTTACTACTGAATTAAATATAGCCTGATTCTCGTTCTCACTTTGAAAATGCGTGCTATGTTCAGTGCACTAGTTGAATGCTGCACGCTGCAGGATTGAGAGAGGACGAATATGATGCGTTCATAGTTCCAATTACTTTTGTTTTATTCATATTGGTTGATGTTATTAGATTGGTGACATAAGATACTCTTACACAGTGATTGAACTTTAAGCACTCCTCATACTCACCGCCACCAGATTGATCCAAAAGAAACTGAGCTTGTCAAGGCGGGCCGCACGAAAACTTCATTTAACACCTAGAAGATCTTCATTATCCTCTTTCTAATTTAAAAGCTTCTTATTGTACGCAACATGAAGCAGAACCTGCACTCGGGTGCCAAAGCGAGAAAAGGTGAAAAATGCAGCAAGAACTAATTCGTTAATAGTAATAAAAAATATTTTCAATGTTTTTATCAATAGATCAATACAGAATCACTATCTGGGTTTTTTAAATTTTCCCCGAAGCGCGTGAAGCTTTGGAAGAGCGGAGGATAGTGTCGGTACCGGTACGGAAAATTGCTCGGCCCTCCAAACACCTGCTTTGAATATTATGCAATATTTTACAATATTTTATAATTTTCAAATATTATCATTAAAAATATTTCAAAAATTATACGATAATAGGGGGGACCTCCTAGTGAGGGAACCTACCAGAATTTACCCGTGCAGACGTATTGGACATTATTTTAATATGATATCATTTTTTACAGCGAGATAGTTTCCCCTGCTTGTGAGCGCTTGCGGAGCAATTGCTGCGCATACCAGCAACAAGTGCATCATCAGAGAGGGAGTTCACTGAGGCTGGTCACATCTTCCGGCAAAAAAGGCTCAGCTTGGCCCCGGAAACAGCCAACAACATTCTTTTCTGAAATTCTAATGCTCTTACGCGGTTATGAACGTACTCGTAAGTTTCATCTGCTTAATCGTAACCGTAAGTGTAAACCGTAATCGGACTCCAGTTACGATCCTAATCGTAACTTTTAACCGTAACCGGAGCAAATTACGGCCGTAATCGTAAATTCTGGCCGTAACCGTAACCTGAATTTTTGGGTGGGGGGCCAGAGTGGTTATCCCTCCCCTGCCCAGTCCTGCCCTGCCTAGAGGCTTGCTTGGTATCCCTCCTGGAGCAATCTCTAGTTACCGTACCGTAACGGCGTGCTTCTGTTGGTGGAACATCTTGAAGGTGCAGAGACAACAGCTGAGTGAATCCGTCAAGAAGGTCACGAGCTCTACGTTGTCCTCTTGCTCGCCCAGGGCAAAGTACACCATCGGCGGGATTACCGCCGCGAGGAATGTGAACGGCAGCACGTACGAGAATGCGTGCGCGAGCGGCCCGCGGCCCTCAGGCCAGGCGCAGACCATCCGCAGGTAGTGCACCACGACGTCCAGAGCCTGCGCACGCACAAGTACTGCGTTAACGACACGCACACTAAAAGCTTATGAACATTTTTATTCATGGCTTCCTGAGTTCCGTATACGTGCTCTGCTTGCGTATTTTTAGCCTGCTCTTCTGCTTTGTAAAAGATGTACAGCGAGCTCATGCCCTTGCCCTTGTCTGTCTCTTCCCCAAGAAGGACGTGAGCTAGAGGCAGGGGGTGGCAACGCGGCGCTTCGGAGTGACCCCATGCGGTAGCGAGGCCCGGCCCCCCACCCGGCCGGAGCCGGGCGAGCCGCGCCTGACTGCAGCGCTTCAGTAAATTCAACCATATTCGATCAAAACGTCTGAAAAACTATGGCAACGAGTAATGAATCGAAAGGGGAGCAGGTAAGCTACATCTCAGTGTGCCTGCGAACTAGTTTCCGTCGCCCGAAGTGGGTTCAAAGAGCTCTTGAGTTTAAAGAGCATCTTGCTTTGTTAAAATTTCTCCGCGGTTTCGCAACGGATCAAATTTCTGCTGTGCTCTGGTAGAAGTAGTCTAAGTTTGTGAGAGCACTGACTATAAGCGAGGCTGATCGGTCAACAAAGAAGGTTAAAAAACAGTGATTGTTTGAATGGTGTTCGTAGCAACAAAAACTTAACCTAAAATAATGTTGTTAGAACTGAATCTCCAGTTGTCTGAGAGGTAAAAAGGTGTGGGGAATCTATTGGCCAGGTACATTTAAGGGCCAGATCAACCGTTCTTACAGTATGAGAGGCTGAAAAAGTATGAAATAATTGCAAATCTCACTTTACCCTCCCCCCTCCCTTAATACGCCGGTGTGAACAAATTTGTTCATACTGGCGCATTAAAAGATGCGTAAGCAGGGCACGCACACAGAACTCAGTAAGCTATGAATAAGGTTTTACTGAGCGGGTGAGGCGACGGGCTCACCCACTCACAAGGGAAACTTTTCAGGTGTAAATCTCCTTCGTTGAAACTTCGAAAATATGAAGGTCATGCCCTAAGAGAAAATAGACGTCTATTAGATATTTAATAGACATCTACGGCTAGACGTGAATTTGTCTAATAGACGTCTTCGGTAGACGTCTATTAGACCGTCTTGATTGTCTCTATGGAGGCATCTATTAGACGTCTGTCACTAGACGTCTATACTTAGACATACTTAGATATGCATTGGATGTCTATCTACAGACGTCTTATAGACGTCTAGTAGATGTGTAGATAGCTGCCATCAACACGATCTAGTCGACGTCTAAACCGCACTCTACATTTAGTCTTAATAGATGCCTGCGCCGGTGATATTTAGATATGGATAGATGTATCTTATACAAGAGGTCAACCCGTCTAGATTACAGCTAAAGATTGATTTTTTTAAAGATTAATAGTGGAAATATCTTGTATTGTATGTAAAGTAGATGGTTGTATTCAAATTTGTACAAATTGAAATAAATAGATATAAATTAAGCAGTAACTTATTTTTTATTGGTCCTTAATTCATGAGGAGACGTTAAATGATAAATTTACAAATATAAACAATTGTGAGTGTGGACTCACTTTGAGAGGAGACCTCATGCTTGCTGAATTTCATCAGTTTCTGCACGAGGAGTGGATCTAGAACAAAGAGATTTCATGAGGCCGGAAAACATAAAGGCATAAGTAAAATTAAAATGAAGGATGAAAAAGAGAAGTGTACTAACTTCTTCTTGTACTTCTTGAAGTTCTGTCCACCACTACGTTGAGGAGCCAAGCGGAGCCAGTTCTCTGTGGCTAGCTTCATGGACTTGTCTGTGAAGTTCGGATACAATTTTTTCAGAGTAGCTGTAGATTTAAAAACAAAATTAGTAATCAAACAATAAAAAAAGGAATTATGCTTGATCATTAAAAAGTTATACCTGGAAATATTTCCTTATAAAAGCCACTTTCCTTAAAGGCTTTCTTCTTGCCATTAGACCCACAAAGGCTAAATTCTGATGCAAATTTGTTAGAGACTACTGCACCTAATATGTTCCGTGCAGTTCCAGCAAAATTGTCGTCCTTGTATCGTTTAAGCTCTTTGACCTGGTTGAAGATCAGTAATAAATTACTTGCAAAGCTCAATACAGGGGTTGTAAAATTCAAACAAAATTAAAACATGCACATGCATAACAAAAAGTGGAAAGAAAGAGTAAAGTACCAAAGCAGTGGAGTATGTCTTATCTAAAATTTTTTGATGAAAGCTGTCCCACTCAAAAGCATTGTCAGCAGGCAAGCCATACATAAGTTGAGAGTTCGTAGAATTATTAGAATTATTATCTAATTCATTTGGATTATCATTAACATCATCTAACAAGCTGGACCGGGTTGAAATCTGATTTAATTTTAATTTTAGGTGGCATAGGGAGCTGATAAGATATGATTTAAATTCTGAAAAGCAGGGTCATGCATATGTGAAAGCTGAGCAAGCAAGTAAAAGCACAGATTTAAGAAAGTCACTAGAAGAAAAATGGGAAAATAGAAGGTACACACCAACGTTTGTCATGCTTTCTGCCATGGCCATGGTCCTCTCTTTAATTGTTGAGCTAGGTGTCACATTTGATTCCCTGACCCGCTTTCCAGATGTGTCACGACTAATATTTGGATGAGAAAGAGATTCATCCATAGGAGACTCTGCTGACCCATCAGATACCCCTGTAAGAAAGAAAGGAATTATTCCATGTGACCAATAATTAATCTTAACTTCATAATGTATTGAAGTGTGAGAGATATCAGAAGTAGTATTACAAAGACAAAAGAGAGAGAGCTAATACAACTAAAGAGAACTTACCTGCTGCGTGAGGAGGAACTCTTGACCATGCTGCCTGGTCTGAACTATTGAGTACACTGTCATGCACAGGAGACTCTGCTGACTCGCTTGGTATCCCTAAAATATAGAATTGAATTAATCAACAGACTGTTCACCTTGGTAATGTTTCAAAAATGAAAGTGAGATTGCACAACACTTAGCAAATGAAAAGATACATTAAACTTGTTCTTACCTGAGGTACCAGATTTAGAGGTGGAGAAAGGAGTAATGCTCCCTCCTTCGTGTCCATTATTAACAGTTGTAACTGATTTGTCAGCTGTTCCTAAAAAAAGTAAAAAAAAAGAGTTAAACTTTACATTCAAACAATAGTAAGCATCACTTCTTTGGGAATGTTAGAAATGTAAACATCAGTAGTAACATTATAAAAAAAACAATACTAACTAACATTATAATAATAACATTTACCTGAGCAAGAAGGTTGAGCTGAAAGAGTCCTTGAATCCCTATTGGGTTTGTTTGACTGTGCAGGAGACTCTAATGACATCATATTAGGTGTCCCTGAAAAAAGTGAATAACTAGATTACTAAAGTGTTGACGGGAAAAATGAAAGTGCGAAAGCACAACACTTAGGAAATGAAAAGATACATTAAACTTGTTCTTACCTGAGGTACCAGATTTAGAGGTGTAGGAAGGAGTAATGCTTCCTCCTTTGTGTCCATTAGAAACAGTTGGAACTGATTTGTCAGATGTTCCTAAAAAAAGAAAAGAAAAAGAGTTAAACTTTTCATTCAAACAATAGTAAGCATCACTTCTTTAGGGAATGTTAGAAATGTAAACATCAGTAGAAACATAAAAAAAAAAACAATCCTAACTAAGATTTAGCAACACTTAGCAAATGAAAAGATACATTAAACTTGTTCTTACCTGAGGTACCAGATTTAGAGGTGGAGAAAGGAGTAATGCTCCCTCCTTCGTGTCCATTATTAACAGTTGTAACTGATTTGTCAGCTGTTCCTAAAAAAAAAAAAAAAAGAGTTAAACTTTACATTTAAACAATAGTAAGCATCACTTGAGTAATGTAGAGAGTTAAAAACAATGATCAGTTTAGTCAAGAAAATCCCCTTATGCTGACCTGAGTTTGATCTACGAAGGGAGGAAGGAGTATTTGCCAGAGTGGAACTAGGCGAAGAGTGCGGACTGGGAGGAAAGGAGAGACGCTCAAACTCTCCATCAATTTCTGAAAGAGAAAAATAAATATCACAAAGGAGAAACTATCAGAGATTCAGATTTAAAAAATATAATTACCTGATGTATTAGATTCTATACTTTCATTCAGGTTAAGTGGTGCTTCACTATTACTTGATGAAACTGCATTGAATCAAACAGTCAAAATTAATCATAAATGAAATGGGTAAAACCCAGTTACAAGGAAAAAAGTTTTAAAAAATTGATTAAATAGAATACTGTTCACTTACGAGTCTTAACTGATTGAAATTTGGGGAGTTTTGGAATGAAACATTCATCGTCTTCAACTTTTCTTTTTCTCAGCTGCCGATTAGGTCCACAAGCAGCATCTGACTGCAAATCAGTGTCAGATTTTTCTTCTGCCTCCTTCAGCTTGGATCTGACGTAGGGGAAGTTAGCTGTGCACAAAAAAGAACCAAAATTAAGATAGGAATGTTATATTTGAATGGCAATAGTGTGATGACAACTTACAGTTCTTGATTCTGATTCGCTGGATGACAGCTTCTTTCCAGTGTCCCTGGGGTTCAATAAGTTGACGAATAGCTTTATCCCATGCGTTCTGATCCAAGTCATCGGCCCAATGGGGCCAGGCACAGGTACACCCATCATCTGCTAACCAGTTACTTGGTATGATTTGTGGCCCTTCACTGAAGTCAACCAGGTGGTAGCTCACTGTAACAGAAGAGAAAAATATTTAAAAACATGTTTCAGCATAACACAAGACAGGTTAAACTAGTCTATACCTATGATGATGTATGTAGCATTGGTACAACCAGAAATCCTCTTTTAAATGGCATCCGGTAGCATTTACAATATATATTTTCAACAGGCCATGACTTAAAGTGTCTGTCTAAGGTAAAGACCTCATAAATTTCCAGCTCACTAGAGTTAATAGGACTGGTATATGCATTGTCTTTATATCTAAATTTCTTCCCAATGACAACCATAGCTTTAGTGATACTACAAACAGCAAAATTGAATACCAAGATAACGGATTTGTCTTCTAACATACAACAATTATTGGCATTTGATTTTGCATTTAAAGTATAGTTTGCAGGGAGCTGGCAGACAGAATATTGTGGTGCAGAGGTGGATGCTGTCAGAGGACCATTAGAATGGATGCGGCTGAAGGTTGGACTGCTTGATTTTTCTTTCATCCATGGCTTTTGAATCTTTCCAGCCTGTTCTGCTTCTATGAACCGATTCACTAATTGTTGTAATGGTTTATCTCCTTTTCTCATCATTTTCTTCAACACTTGTAAAAAATTTTCAAATTTGAAAGCACTAAAAGAATCCAGAGGTCCAAAGTTCAGCACATCAATTGGCAGATGAATCAAACCATGTATGTTGTGGCTCACATATTCCTTGCCATATAATCTAGCAAAGGTGTGGACCCAGAAGACCAATAGCTCCTGTACATATAGAGCATGTTCTTTACAAAGTTGTGGATGTGCCAACATGTAAATCGCAACATGCAATCCAAGGAAGTGTTCATATACATCATCACGCAGAGTGCCACGGAAAATAAGAATGCCTGTGTATAAAAGCATTTGACGATACTCTGTTCCTTTATATCTCTTTAAGAATTTGAGGGACCTTGGCTTTCGTGCAAACTCGTAGGGAGCCCATGATGATATAGAGATAAGCTTCTCGGAAATCTTTTGAAGTTGGGCTTTGGACAGTCTTACTCTGAGAGGTCCACTTACCCACATGTACATCATCTTACGCAAAGCCCCCAACAGGACCAAATGTAAATAATCAAGGACTACGGATGAGACAAGATCAAAGCCAGGAATTTCTGCAAGGATAGTGTTGCCTTTGTGATAATCTTTTTGACTTTGACTTCTAAAATTTTCATCAGTTCTTAAGACAACATCAAGTTTAGGGTATGACATCCTCCTACCAAACATCTTTCCTGTTGTCTGACATTTTGTGCATCCAACAGTTGCATTATGACCCATAACATTCAAAATAAATGCCTTGGCTGGAGCATCACAGATAGCCAGGGTCAGACGAACAGTTATGGGTCTCCCTTCAACATAAAATCCTTGAGACAGGTGTAAAATTTCATCAATAAAATCTCGAAGATATAAATAGTGATCAGCTGGCTTTTCATTGCCATGGTATACACCAGCTAATACCACATTATCAGAGTCATTAAAATAGCAGAGTATTGGCCAAAAACAACTGCCAGATGATTTAGAGATAGGTAAACCATCCACTCCAAAGGTAATATTCACTTCAGTCACTTTAGTTGCCTTTACATAAGATTCTAAATCCTTGGTTATGCCTCTGTGCCAATACTGACCCGGGGAAACAGGTTTGAGAGTTGTTACCATTGGAGTGCGTAGAAGTGTCTTTGCACACTTGGGAAAATTCCCAAAACCATATCTACGGTAAAATGTTAAAAGACCTGATATCTGCTTATGGTTTAATTTCAAATCTAGAGCCAGAGACTTAAAATCTTCTTCAAGTTCAGTATAAGAGGGCGTTTCCTCCTCACTATCACTGTCACTATCAGAACACTCGGATACAGAGCTGTTATCTAAGTCAGGATCACATTTGCCACAATGTACGCACTTCTCATCCCCTTCAATGTGGGCACAAGTGTCACAACCAACACAAACGCAATCAATACAATCATCACAGTCATGTATAACCAAACCAAAGTCTTCAGTTCCAAAACTTTCGAACAGATCAACATTGTCTTCAAGATTAGTTGCATGTTGTGAAATGGAAAGGTCATGATTAGGAGACAAATGTCCACTTAGACCAGGACTGACAGATTCAGAGGTCTCAGCTCTTAAAACAGCATCGTCAGAAAGTAAAATAGAAACTTCAGTAGACAGATCAATAGACTGATGGATATCGCGTTGCTGAGAGTTCAGACTGTCGGGCACACTAACAGATGGCATCCAAGAATTTAATTCTTGAAGTAAAGATTTCTCCCCTCTTCTTCTTACTGATCTGTGCGAGTTGCTCCAGCATTTTCTCTTTGCACTCATCGTGAAAAACAAAGCGGGATGCCAACAAAAGTCTGAATGTAAGGTCTTCTAACTTTGACTTCAAAAAAGGTTCATCACGACCAAACACTAGTTCTGCAACACGATTAGCGGCCGGGCATGCCCGCGCGGTCAAAAAGCAAGCAGCAGACTGACATACTTCTGCTGACACGACCCTTTTTTGAATAATAGTTTACATGAACAACCATGTGCACAGAAAGCTATGGGAAACCTAACCCTACCGGGGCAGTGGACCGGCCAACCCAAGGAATGCATTCCTACCTACTAATTTCCTAGTGAAATGCCCTTTACTTACATTGGTTATCGACGCTTATGAACGGCATCGCAAATAATTGTTGAAATATCAATCAACAAGTTGCGAGCAACGAAATAACGTCGAAAGACAATTCGCTATGTCTCAGCTCTGGCGAAACTCTGACACTGCTGACACCTGTAGCCTTCTATATAGATGAGTGACGAGATACAACACCTCGGCAGGTTAGCCAACCACAAACTGAAAATAATGGTAAAAAGATTATTGGAGATTAAAGGGATTGAACGCAACAGAACTCTAAACGACTCAAAACATACTCACCCTTTTCAAAATAAATCTGAATTGGAATTTTTCTAAGACAGTGTGTGTAAAGCATACTCAATGCTCAATACATCCATGTTGGCTATCCTTCCTAGCAGAAAGCCCTCTTTCTCCGTTTGTTGTCTTTTGATTTTCATTTTCAGTACTTTAAATAAATAATATTATTTTAGTCTTTTTTTCATCAATGCAACAGGAATTTTGTGAGATGGTAAGCAATCTAACCTGAAGTAAATGTGCCAACAATATATTTCATGATATGGTAAACAATAATCTTTTAAAAGGACCTCCAATGCTACTATATCTGTTTTAATTTGATTAGTTGATTTATTCTCATCTATTACTGCTTTGTATGATGTACTGTGTCCTTTGATGTTGTTTTGTGTTTATTAATAAAATGACAACATTGTACATGTCTGTTCAATAAACAACCCATCCTATAAGTGTAAATTGTTCAGTTGAAAATACTTATTTGATTAGTGAGCTTAACCCATATTAATGGCAAGTCTTACTATGCTCTACCAAACAACTAGCTTGTTAGTTCTCAATAGGAGCCATCCACGTTCACTGCTTCAAAGAGATTAGCCATTGACAAATCATCTTCAACATCAGTCAATTATTGACAGCTAAGAATTATGCATCATGTAGAGATTCAATACTGCTTCACCCATGCGTTAGGTTAACCTAAGCCATATATATATATAATTATAACAAAAAAATTATTTGTATCAATAACCTTTATTTTTATAAATCAACCATGTCAAAGTACATTTTCTATAACCAGTGTAGCACAAATCGAATCTTATGGATATGTTTTGGAAACTGGAACCAGTTGGAAATATGACAAAGCAGGTAGTCCGAGACTCAGAGATAATTACCGAACTGAATAGATGTTATTTGTCTTTCTCGACAGTTCGATTTGAGAGAAAAAAAATCGGGCAAGAGTTCATTTAAAAGAGGTGTGAAATAACTTAATCAAGTCCACACCACATGTCAAATTACATATATTTTTAAAGAAAATTTTTGTACATTACATTTAAATTATGAAACCAGAATAACTTGCCTAAGCCTCTATCAAAATGAGACATGTCAATTGCAATTTCATGTTCATTTAGCCTCAATTAATTAATGAAATATCTCATAATTCTAATGAGCTTCTTGGCCATGAAAAGTTCTGCACTTTACCAAAAATTGTTAACTAGATCAATTCAGATTTACCTCAAGTTCATCAACATCAGATTGGTCAGCAATGTGTCCCACCACTTAAAATATATTCATAAAGATTTCATGTCAGCTTCTGATTCTGAAAAATGTACATTATTACAAGTTGCGTACCATGTACTTATTCTTTAAATTTCTTTCTGACTTGAATGTTTTCACATTGCGTAAACGAAAGACTTATCTCAAACATCATACATAATTGTATTCTCAAGTTAAAAAAGTGAAACATGCAGTATTAAGGTCATTTTCTTTATATAAAATAAGACAAAGTGTAAAATACAATAGGAAACACATTATAACATAGAAACAGGGGATTAAAATTCAATCGAACGGTTCAGTATACACTCAAGGCGCCCTTCATGAAGTTCAGTCGGCTTGAAAGGTCCATGTCGCACCCCATACTCTCCAGCAGAAAGCTTGGCATCATCCGATGTACCTAAACATAAATGAGCCTTAAAGTCATATATGATAGGTAAATCCCATTATGCCTGTAAGGACTGAACAGCTAACATACCTCCTACTCCCCACACAAATGCTAACTCGAGCCTTCCTGTGCAGTTCCTGCGAAGAAGCACAACTTCTCCAGGGACTACGCCTGGCCACTGACCATTGGGAATGAATGTGCACTCAAGTTCACGATTACTAAACCAATGTGAAACTATATACATGCTGAAACAAAGATAATGTTACAAATCCTAGAATGTTTTTGAACAGTTTTTTTTTCTTTGGTGTGACTTGGTACTTACATGCCGGTCGCTGGAACTCAGATGACGGGTGAGACCGTCGAATTTGACAACACGTACAGATGTCTGACAATATTAGCACCCACACAATGTGCGGCACATCTGACTTCCAGACTTCACTGCACCCAACACGCGACGGCTCGGCTCGGCTCGGGCTCGGAGAAAGGAAGGAAAGGAGGGGCGGGGGAGGG